AGATTATAGGAAACAGGACACGAGATGAATATTAATATATTATTATGGTTACGAAATGTTATTGAACAGGCGGAGTGCAGGGAGTATTTTTCCTTTTAGCATTACTTTTTAGTATTTACTATTACTAGCATACTTGCTGTGTCGCATAACTCGCATACTATTACTAGAATAATACTAGTATCCGTTTAAGTGGATACTTAATACTTATGGACTATGGTAGTATGGTTATGGAATTAGAATTTAGATTCTGACGTGATATCAGTAAATGGTCGGAAAAATCACAGTAAAATGTTTGCTTTCGTTATCTCCGCGAAAACAAGCCTTATCACTGCATTTTTTTCTTATCAAATCGATTATCTTTCAGTGTATACTATCACGATTCATTTCATTAAAAAAAATCATGTAGTATTAAGCAAATGATATATTATTGTGTTGTAGACCAATATTTTAACTTGAATAATTAATGTCAATTGTTTTCTTAGATACACTACACTAATAATTATTTTCAATTACTTTTCATTGATGTTGTAAATCGTTCATTAAAAATATTTCATAATCTGGTTTTAGTTAAAACGAGTTAAACTGTTATTGTTAAACAATTTAGTTTATGTTTTTTTTTATGTCAATTTAAAACTATTTCATTTATTAAACCAATATAATTAGTATTACAAATTGTAAGAATAATGAAACCACACTCTAAGAGTGAGAGATAATTTTTCAAATTAAATACTTAATSACTTAATAATTTGCATTCCGTGTTTTGATTTTTTGTTTAGTATGTCTATTGGAGAATCTTTCTATTAATAATATGATATTGGACTAAAGGAACTAAGTATCAGAGGTAAAATAATTTTCATTCTGTAAACAAATAATTAGGTATCAAACGTACAAAACTCATAAATATTCATGTTGTATTTTTAGTTATTAATTTCAAGGAAATATTAAATACTTCAAGATGCCGTTAATTCAAGTAGATGTAAAAATGTTACCAATGAAAGTGCACTACTTTCTGTTTATGGGAGGTAAGTGTTGACATTTC